ATATGTTGTCCGTGCTGGAACTTCACGAAGTAGTGAAGTCGTATGACGTTTCGCTCGAGGAGGTGGAAGAATGGGTCAATGACCTGAGGATATGGTTCGAGCGAGCCAACTTGGAAGAAGAAAAAGATCCCAAAAGGGGCAAGAAGAGGTCCCTAGAAAGGGAGTCCAGCAAAGATATTCCTGCCGAGAAGGAGGTGGTTGAGACTTCTGAGACGGAAGTTATCGTTGAGGAGGAGGCAAAAAAGGTTAAAAAGAAGAGGAAACCTGTGGTTATCGAAGAGCCTTATACCCTCCTGGTTCCAAAGCCGAAGAAGATGCCGGCGACCATTGAGAAGAGTGGATCATCATCCAATGCGGCGGTTTCTGCAGGGGAAAAAGCCTCGAGAATGCGCACAAAGTCAATCGTCGGTGGAAAGGCGAAGAAGAAGGAGAAAAGTCAGAGTCCCAAAAAGGGAGAAGTGGTGGTGGTGAAAGGTCCTGAAGAAAAGGATCGTCCTCCTGATGCGGATGCGCAAGCGTCGGCAGCTGTGAGTGCAGAGCTGGGTCAATCTTGCCAAGCGATTGAGGACGCGAAAAGAGAAGGACTGGTATCCTCAATTCAAAGGGGCGTACAGGATCCTGTTCTTGCAGTTTCGGACCTGGAGTATATTCTGCTGCAACTTCACCTCAAGATTGCCAACAATCGGAAAAAGAAGTGATTGGATGGTATGGATGAAGGGATTCTGGAGACAGGTGCGCTGGAACAGCCAATGTGCTGACAAATGTGGTGGTTACTATTAAGGGTATGGAAATCCCTGATAGTAGAAGTCAGTAGCTTTTCGCGTAGCGAAGACCACGGTTTGTGGTGAAGAAGGCCAAGGAGTCTTCAGTGATGAGAGGATCATGGTGAAAAGATTCTCTATGGTTAGTGGATTTAGCCAATGAGCTATAATTTCGTCCTGGTAGACGTTAAACCGTATTGTGCATGTCAAGCAGCAGGCTACTGCCCTAATGGCAGTTTTTGGCCAAAGATCTGCATCTCCAATGTGTCCTAGGAAATCCTAGGACAGGGGGAGTGCGGAGCTGCAACTGGTATTGTAAAAAGAGTTAGTGTTGGAAGTTGAAAGGGTTAATAAACCCGGAAATCATTTTTATGGCTCAAGACTGGGCCATGTGCCTGGTAGTAAAAGGTGAGTGCCCTGTGGTTTGGGTTTGTTGTGTGGTTGATCCAGGGAAATCAAGGGATTCTGTTGGGGTTGACTTTTCGGTTTCTCGTCCCCCTTCGGGTTCCCCCCGTATAGGGTTTAGGGTTTAGGGTTTAGGGTTTAGGGTGTAGGGTTTCGGGTTTAGGGATCCTTTCAGAGTTTGAAGCTTTTCATTCCTGGAGGGAGGCATCATTCAGGCTCGTTCTGGAGGGCTGCGAGGCACCCGTAGAAGGGAGATTTCGGAACGCAGCACCCCCCCACCCCCAACCCCCCACCCCAACAGCTCCAAATCTCTCGAAGGTTTACGCTTTTGGGCTTCAGGGATTTAGGGCTTACGTAGGGGGTTTCGCTGGCCTCAGACCCGTCCACCTAGAGTCGGGCTTGGGGTTCCCTCGCCGCGCCCGAAGCCCTGAAACCCTGAAAGCCTAATTAGGGTTTAGGGTTTAGGGTTTAGGGTTTAGGGTTTGGGCGCGTGCAACTGAACGCGGAGAGCGCGTCGGAATGTTCAAGGCACTTGGTCACCCCTCCCTGCACGCGCTGAGTTCGAGACCAGCCGGACCTCAACCTCATGAAATGAAAAGGTTCTTAAGGGATAGGAGTTCATGGGGAGTAGGTATCAAGCGAACGGGAAGCTTAGGGAGCCTTTGGGAGCAGTGGGGAGTGTTAGGGTTTCTTGGGTTAAACCCTAAACCCTAAACCCTAAACCCTAAACCCTAAACCCTAAACCCTAAACCCTAAACCCTAAACCCTAAACCCGAAACCTCCCTTGGAGCCCCCCTCCTTAGTTAAGAACCCTATAAGGAAAGAATCGTATCCCATGCACCACCTCCGGGAGCCAATAATCTGCTGGCAATAGCTCCCTTAGGAATTGTTAGGGTTTAGGGTTTAGGGTTTAGGGCTTTAGAGTTTTAGGGTTTAGGGTTTAGGGTTTCGGGTTTAGGTGTTAGGTAAGGGAATGCTGAAAGCAGTATTTTTATTGAGGTTCTAAGGGGGGTAGAGCCGGGGGGGTGCACATGTGTGCCGACAACGACCACCCATGGGAACCGTCCCCAATCTTCTAAACTTAGGAGCTGGGTAGTTAGCCTTTAACCTTTTGGTTCTATAAATGCATAAGTATAAATATCAAGATAAATATGAATTTATATATAGATATAAATAAGAAAATTAATAAAATATACATATATACATATACATATATACCTATTCCAAATAAAGGGTTAACCTTTTTGGTTATACATAGTCCTATTACAAGGAAAAGGTTGACCTTTTCGGGCGAGGGTGTTCAGCCCCTAGGTTAAACCTTTTCCTGAAAACCCTAAACCCTAAACCCTAAACCCTAAACCCTAAGCCCTAAGCCCTAAACCCTAAACCCTAAGTTAACCCTTAACCTGAACACCCTTCGGGCTTGGAGCATCTGCAGGTGGCCAAAGAACCCCTAAAAACCTGCGCAACCTTAAACCCTTGACGTTTTGTGTTTAGGGTTTCGGCTTGAGGGTTTAAGCTAAGCCGAAAACCCATGACCGTCTCTTGCCGGAGGTATCTGTCGAGGCGTCCCAGACAAAGCCGATGGAGATCAAGCCGAAGGAGGAGAAACTTCGAGCCCTTCTTTTTTTGAACCCCCCCCCCAGCTTGTCTTGTTGTTTTAACCCCCAAGCCCTTTCCATCTCCCGTTTCCGCGGCAGAAACACAACTTCTGTTCCACCAGCCCCCCCCCCCCCCCCCCCCCCCTCCATTTTAACCATGACTTTTTTAAACACCCTCCATGTTAACCCCCCCTCCCCCCCCCTCACTTCTTTCCACCCCCCATCTCCATTTCAACAGCCGCCATTACCCACCAATACCCACCATTACCCACCATTGCCAAGCATTACCCACCACCCACCAATGCCCACCAGTACCCAGCATTACCCACCATTACCAGCAAAACCAACCACCAGCCATATTCGACCATGCCACCATTACTCACCATTACCCACCATATTCGACCATTCCACCATTACTCACCCGTTCGACCATTCCACCAATTCCAATACCATTCCCACCATTCCCACACTTCCACCCCACCATTCCCACCCCTACCACCAGTACCCACCATTACATTACCCACGATTCCCACCATTACCCACCATGCCCACTTTTACCCGCCATTCCCCACCATTCCCACTATACCCATCATTCCTACCATTAACACCAGTACCCGCCATGCCCACCATCACCCAAGTACCCTCCCACCATATTACCCACCAGTACCCACCATTTCCACAATCACAATCCCCTTGTCATTCCCATTCCCACCACTATCTATCCACCATGCCCACAAAAACTCGCCAGTCGACCATTGTCAACAGGAAGGGGAGGGGCTAGGAGGCCGTTCGCATCCAGCTGCTCGCCAGGCAGATGCTAACCCCTCAAAACCCCAAAACGCCATCAACAGACCTCAAAAACCCTTCAAAAACCCTCAAAAACCCTCAAAACCCTGAATCCGCAAACCCAACAGCACCAAACACAAGCTCTCTTGCAGGGGAACTGTGTTTTGGGGGTCTGTGCTGGGAGGAGCCCAAACCGTTCCTGGAGCCGGAGGAAGCCGAAGCCCGGGGGGGGGAGGTTAGGGTTTAGGGTTTAGGGTTAGGGTTTAGGGTTTAGGGTTTAGGGTTTAGGGTTTAGGGTTTAGGGTTTAGGGTTTAGGGTTTAGGGTTTAGGGTTTAGGGTTTAGGGGGTTTAGGGGGTTTAGGGGGTTTAGGGGGTTTAGGGGTTGGGGTTTGGGGTTGAGGGCTTGTGGGAAATCGTCCTCAAGTGTGGGCTTGTCCTCAACCATGAACCCTCAACCCTAAACCCTTAACTCGGGTAGTGCGTCAAGTCCCCTTTACGCAGGTGATGGAGCCGGTTTCCTGGGGTGTTTTTCAGGATTTTAGGGTCTAGGCGCATTTCAGGGTTTAGGGAGTACATTGGGGGTTTAGGGTTTAGGGTTTGGAGGTAGTTTGGGGTTTAGGGTTTCGGGGTACTTGGGGTTTAGGGGGTAACTTGGGGGTTTAGGGTTTAGGGTAATTTGGGCTTAGGATCTTTTGGAGGGTTCAGTGAAGCCTGCTCTGAAAGGGGTTTGGGTTGTTTGCTGTGCCGTAGATGCATCTTTCGAACTCGTCAATTTCTAGGCTTCTTAAGGGAGCGGGGTTCATGGGGGGGGGGGGGGGAGAGTTTTCTTCAGGGAACCTTAGGGAAGCTTAGGGAGCCTTAGGGAGTAGTAGGGAGTATTAGGGAACCTTGGGTTACATACCCCCTTGAACCCCCCTCCCTTAAGAACCCCACAAGTCAAGCAATCCCTGGATTGGAGGAAGAAGCGCCCATGCAGAAGGGGCTGCCGCCTAGCTGGATTGAGAAGGTTCAGGTTTGTCATCGGGACCTCCGAAGCCCGAAGCCCTAACCCTAAACCCTAAACCCTAAACCCTAAACCCTGAACCCTAAACCTTAAACCCTAAACCCTAAACCCTAAACCCTAAACCCTAAACCCTAAACCCTAAACCCTAAACCCTAAACCCTAAACCCTAAACCCTAAACCCTAAACCCTGGGCTGCAAGGGCCCAGATTCCCCAACAAAGAAGGCCTTAGGGTGAGCCCCCGAAGAATCCCGACGCTCTGAACACCCGTCGGCGAATTCAAGCAAAGCCTGCGCAGTGGGCTTGGGTTCACACATGGTACCCTTGCGCACTGACACCTGTCATGGAGCCGCAAAGAAAAAAAGGGACACTGCAACAAAGAAGCAATGCTTTTGACAGAACATCTTGGGAACATTCAAAAAAGCCATTGTACTTGCTGTCTGGCATGGAGCTGCGCTGCCGGGGCATCTCAATGGAGACCCGGCCGGACGAGAGCCCAAAGAAGCCGGACCTTCATGGAGTGCTGCAGCATCGGCTGCGGAGCATCTCGCAGGAGTCCGATGAGCTGCTGATGTACCCGGGACCCGATTTGCCTACGGCGTTTATGGGTTCTAGCTGCTAGTTAAGGGGTAGTTTACCTACAGTTTTATGGGTTCTAGCTGCGAATAAGGGGTAGTTCCTACCCTTTTTGCCTGCAGTTGTATGGGTTCTGTGCCCTTAACATCAGTTTCACCGACTTACTTCGGTGCTGTAGCGTCACCTCTGAGCAGACTTGTGACGGCGAGGAACAGGAACAGGTAGCTCCTACTAAAAACTGAAGGTAAGTAGGAACGGTCCTTAGTATGGATGATAGTACCCCCTTACTATCAAGGACTGTTCGTGAAAGGGGCAACATCCCATGTCCCAGGTACACTCCAACGGCCCGGCAATGCAGCACGCAGATGCCCGAGCTTGTGCGGGAGAGCTCGCCGATCAAGGAGGCGAAGGTGGAAGGGGTGCCCTCTCTCACGTCCAAGGTCAAGGATCTGCATGATGATCTCGAGAACCTTATACTTAGCGAGATTTGTTGGGCTTTTTCGTAAGTCGTAGGAGCAATTAAGGTTTAGCCGTTGTTTCTAATCCTTGGATGTAAGAGAAGCCAAGGAGCTGGGGCTACAACAACTACCCTGTCATCACGGATCACTTTAACTTCCTCGTGTACGGCGTGGATCTGGCTATCAGGAGCATCAGGTCGGGATTCAATACCTTGAAAGCCCCTAGGGTTGTACCCTTGGGTTTGGGGACCCCTTTGTTAAAGATCCTGTAAGGGAAGAAAATGGCCACATTACGAACTATCTTCAGGCAACCTCTTAGAGGGGTACATCATTATGGAAGTGTGAAACCTGAAGCCCTAAACCCCAAAACCCTAAACCCGAAATCGAGAAGTGTGCTCAACCCGGAACCCTACACCCCAAACCCTAAACCCTCAACCCTAAACTCCCTTGCAACAGGTGGTTCCAGTTTGGCTTTGCAGCCTGCTGGCTTGGCTTCCGCCTATGAGCCTTGGCTACCACCCCTGGTGCCCCTTTTGCCCGGCTCAGGGTTTAGGGTTTAGGGTTGAGGGTTTAGGGTTTAGGGTTTAGGGTTTAGGGGTACCCTTTACCTTCTTCTTTCGGGTGTCGAGGGTTCCCTTATAAACGTAACCCCCCCCCCCCCCCCCCCCCCCCCAAAAAAAAAAAAAAAAAAGGAAGTCCTCTTGTCATGATACTGGTCCTGGGGCTACCCAAAGGCGTCTATGAAAACCGAAAACCCTAAAACCCTAAACCCTAAAAACCCTAAAACCCTAAAACCCTAAAACCCTAAAACCCTAAAAACCCTAAACCCCCCTAAAACCCCTAAAACCCTAAACCCTAAACCCTAAAACCCTAAAACCCTAAAACCCTAAAACCCTAAAACCCTAAAAAACCCTAAAACCCTAAAACCCTAAAACCCTAAAACCCTAAAACCCTAAAACCCTAAAACCCTAAAACCCTAAAACCCTAAAACCCTAAAACCCTAAAACCCTAAAACCCTAAAACCCTAAAACCCTAAAACCCTAAACCAAAAAAAGCCAAGAAAAATACCCCCAAAAAGAAACCTGGCTCCAGGCGTCTATGCCATCATGTTGCTCCCAGCTTTTGTCCGAATCATGCTCACCTACTACCATGACGCCCGAATTCATCGGCGCATCCGCTTCGGCCCTGCCGAGCGCGAGTACCTGGACATTTACGTGCCCAAGAACGCCGCGCAGGAAGGCAGCAAGGTCCCGGTGGTCATCGCCATCATGGGAGGTGCCTTTTGGGACGTTCCCCCCTTTGCAGCTCCTGAATAGGTTTAGGGTTTAGGGTTTAGGGTTTAGGGTTTAGGGTTTAGGGTTTAGGGTTTAGGGTTTAGGGTTTAGGGTTTAGGGTTTAGGGTTTAGGGTTTAGGGTTTAGGGTTTAGGGTTTAGGGTTTAGGGTTTAGGGTTTGGGGATACGAACAGTCCTTAGTGGGGACTATAGTACCCCCTCTTATGATCGAAGCTCAGGAGTCGTAGTACATGGGGGGAATATCCCAAGGTGCCTTCATCATCGGCCACCGGGGCTACAACGCGCAGCTGCTTGGGTCTAGTAGCCCTAAACCCTAAACCCCAAACCCTAAACCCTAAACTCCTGGGTTTAGGTTGGGATTGCGGCTCATGGACTTTGGCATCATCACGGTGGGCATCGACTACCGGAACTTCCCAAGGGGAACCATCCCCGATGCTAGACTAGGCCCTTGGGGCCTTTTACATTTTCCCTTTTTGGGTTTTAAGAGGATAATATTTAGAAATCTTTTTCAGAGGGTCTTAAGACCTTTCATAGTTTCCCTTTTTGGGTTTTAAGAGGATAGTATTTAGAAATCTCTTTTTCAGAGGGTCTTAAGGGGCATCCTAGGACATGGTCGAGGACGTGAGCCGCGGGGTGCGCTGGGTTTTCCAGAACATCGAGCGCTACGGCGGCGACACCTCCCAGATGCTTTTGATGGGGCAAAGTGCCGGCGCCCACTTGGCCTCCATGCTCCTGCTTGAGCATGCGCTGCTGGAGGCCAAGCACTCCATGAAAGGTGGCAAGGACTGCAAAGATGTGGCGGAGAGTTGCGACAACTGGTCCGTCAAGGACTTGAAGGGATTCCTGGGGGTGTCTGGGCCCTATCACCTTCAGAAGCTGGGCCCTCACCTGGCATCCCGTGGATTGTATCTTCGTCATAGCGGGGGGGTAGCATTTTGCATTTTTGAGGGTACTTAAAACTCGCATAGACACTTGAATTAAGAAAAACTCAATAATGTAAGAGAACTTTAATAAATTTTCAATACCATCCCAACCATGAGCTAGGTATCCAGGCATCCCGAAACCCTAAACCCTAAACCCTAAGCCCTAACCCTAAACCCTAAACCCTAAACCCTAAACCCTAAACCCTAAACCCTAAACCCTAAACCCTAAACCCTAAACCCTAAACCCTAAACCCTAAACCCTAAACCCTAAACCCTAAACCCTAAACCCTAAACCCTAAACCCTAAACCCTAAACCCTAAACCCTAAACCCTAAACCCTAAACCCTAAACCCGAACGAGGTATCCAGGCATCATGACCCACATGACTGGAGGGGATCTCTTGGGATGCTCCCCGGAGGCTTTGCTGGAGCAGGCGGACTGGGGCTCGTTCCTTCGGTATACTTGGGAACAGTTTCTAGTTATTTTTGTTGGTATTTATTCATGTGTATGTTTCCATTTATTTATATATGTTTGGTACTATGCTTCCTAAGAAAACCTTAGGGATACTTGGGAATAGTTCTTCATTTTTGTACTATAATTCAAAAAAACAGCCGAAATCACAATGTTTAGGGTTTAGGGTTTAGGGTTCCAAGCTCAGAAGAGGTTCGGCGACCAGGCGGTTCAGCTCCTTCCGCCCATCCACCTTTTCCATGGCGATCGCGACACTTGGCTACTGTTTGCTTAAGAACCCTGCCAAAAAATATACAAAACAAAAATCCCTGTAGTGCCCGTAGGAGGAGGATTTTTTTTTTTTGGTGGGGGGGGGGGGGGGGGGTTCTTGAGCAATTCGTAGTTGGCAGCCCAGTGGGCGCCCTGTGACCCCCTTTTTTTGGGTTCGGGGTTCCCTGATAAAGTAGCCAATCCCCAAAAAGGGGTGCCTCATTCTAACTATGGTTACCTTTTTTTGTTCTGGGTTCCTGTAAAAGGGAACCAACCTCAAAAAGGGGGATCATGGTTACTCTTTTTGTTTTTGGTTCCCTTGTAAAATAACCAACGCCAAGAAAGGTGTTCCTCTTATTCTAATTATGGTTACCCTCCTTTTTGGTTCTGAGTCCCCTTATAAAGGAACCACTCCCCCAAAAGAAGGGGTGCCCCTTATTCTAATGATGATTACCCACTTTTTCATTCTGGGTCGCCTTATACAGGAACCAACGCCCCCCAACAGGGGGTGCCCCTTATTAGAATTAAGGGGGGTTGCGAAACAGGGGGCCCCCAATAGAGATCCCCAAATAGTAGGATCCCCTTCCCCCGAATCTTGTAAACCCCCTGACGGTTCCTGGTTGGGATGTTTCCCCCTTTTATTAAAAGTTCCGAATAGGGAGTTGTATAGTACCCCCTATCATAGTCCCCATTAAGGACTGTTAGCATAAGGGGGAACATCCCAAGTTCCTGGGCCGCTCTACCCCTAAACCCTAAACCCTAAACCCTAAACCCTAAACCCTAAACCCTAAACCCTAAACCCTAAACCCTAAACCCTAAACCCTGAACCCTGAACCCTGAACCCTGAACCCTGAACCCTGAACCCTGAACCCTGAACCCTGAACCCTGAACCCTGAACCCTAAATAAACCCTAAACCCTAAACAAACCCTAAACAAACCCTTAACCAACCCTAAACCCTAAACCCTAAACCCCAAACCCCAAACCCCAAACCCTAAACCCTAAACCCTGAACCCTAAACCCTAAACCCTAAACCCTAAACCCTAAACCCTAAACCTCAGGACAAGGCCGTACCGGTCTGGTCTTCGGTGCACCTTGCGGGCGCCCTGAAGGATGCCGGGGCCAACGTGGTGCTCGACATCCGGCAGGGCATGACCCACACCTATCCCGTGGTGGAGGGGCCCATGAAGCGCCACGACCCGCAGGCACCTGGGTTTAGGGTTTAGGGTTTCGGGTTCAGGGTTCAGGGTTTAGGGTTTAGGGCTATGTTTAGCTACAGCTTTATATGGGGTTTCTACACTGCTAATGAAGGGGGTAGGAACTAGCACTGCGAATTAAGGGGGGGGGGGGGGGGGGTAGTTCCTATTAAGAACTGTTTTTGGTAAATAGGGTCCCAGGTAGAGATCATCTTGCCGATGCTCTTCGGCCCCGGGGCGGAGCGCCGCCTGGAGTCAACACCGAAGCTCCCTCCCATGGCCAACCCGCGCATCATCGAGGCAGCTGGCGTGGTGTCCCCTTTCTAGCTTCTTGGTAGCCCAGTTGGTTTTAGGGTTTAGGGTTTAGGGTTTAGGGTTTAGGGTTTAGGGTTTATGGGTTAGGGTTTATGGCCCTTTTTTGGGTTCAAGGTTTCCTGCTAAAGTAACCAACCCAAAAAAGGGTGCCCGTGTTTTGATATGGTTGCTGGGCTACCAAGGTGTGGGCAGAACATGGTAGAACTCGGGAGGACGCGGCCGCACAAGGCTGTCGCGTCCAAGATGCACAACTGGTACCACTGCAATAGACAGGCGTGTGGCGGTGACTGGCAGCATGAAACTTCATGGCCTGCCATCCCCCGTTTTTGTGCTTAGAGTGTTGCTTCCTCCAGGAAGCGAGAGTGCGCAGGCTCTTTCTATCGTTTTTGCGCAGCCCTCAGAAGCAGGAGTTGGCGTCATGTGATCAGCGGCAAAAACGGAGCCACCCGTGGAAATGGCTGAGTCAAGCTGACATGAAACAGCCAGACTGCAACTCAGCAAATAGTGCCACGCAGAAGGACCTAGGGCTTTCCAGAGTGCAGTCTGTAGGGTTGAGGGTTGAAGGTTTGAGGGCAGGCGCCATCTGGAAAGCCTGCTCAAAAAGGGTAGCATTCTATCTGTCTGCTCAGGTTCACGGTCAAGATTCAGCTGGAGTCCACCTCACACAAGCCGCTTGCTTGGCACGAAGATCCTCTCACAACGCGTTTTTGGGGACAGGGTTTGGGTTTAGCTTTGACGCTGGGTTTAGAGGCGGGCGTCTGGCAGTCAGCAAATCCAAAATGGGTTTAGGGTTTAGGGTTTTGCACATCTGGGCCTTGGATTTCGTGGTGCCGCAGCTCTTCCTGGATATTCAGTCATGTGGGGTCAGTTTCAGTGTTTTGCAACGTTTCTGTCATGGATGAAGAGGACCATCGTTTTCTGTGAGGTTTGCAGACATCTCTCATGGTGAGTGATTTTGTGTTGCTGGGCTACGCAAATGTGCGGCTTAAGAGTTTAGGCAAAAGGTTTAGGGTGATTTAACTCTTTAGTAGTTAAAAACGTTTAACATTTTTTATTCCTTGGTTGCTGGAGAAGTAGTAATTATACGATGACCCTTACACGTGCAGTCCAAGGCAATTGGGTATGGAGCTTGACGACATCAACGAGCAAGGCGCAACAGCTCCGGTCAAGAATCTAGCGTCTTAGCTGGTGTGATGTTCTTTGCGTGGCATGTTGTGTAGCAACATGCTGCTTAAACGTTAACGCCTTACTTCAGCCGAAGTCAGGATTTGAGGGCGGTACCCCAAGAAGAAGCAGAAAAAAGAGGTTTCTGCAGCTCTAAGCCAAAGCGCAAAAGAGATTGCAGCCCACGACCGTGCAAGTCAATATGCGCAGCAGCGCACGACGATGAAAGCAATCAGAAAACCACATTTTTTGTTCTTTTTGCATCTTGTTTTGGTGTTTTTTCGTGTGCTTTCCAGGAAACCACTATTTTTTCATTTCCATCGGTATATGCGTAATTCCCCATGCAATTATAGAGAAAACCCTCTATTTGCGGGGCGCTTCGTGGGCGAAAACCCTGATATTGCGTTATTTCCATACGCGGCGCAAGCTGATTCGAAGACGGCAAGAACGGAAGAACGGAAGAACGGAAGAACGGAAGAACGGAAGAACGGAAGAACGGAAGAACGGAAGAACGGAAGAACGGAAGAACGGAAGAACGGAGGAACGGAGGAACGGAGGAACGGAAGACCGGAAGACCGGAAGACCGGAAGACCGGAAGACCGGAAGAGCGGAAGAGCGGAAGAGCGGAAGAGCGGAAGAGCGGAAGAGCGAAAGAAAAAGGAAAGAAATAAAGAAAGAAGGAAAGAAAGAAGGAAAGAAAGAAGGAAAGAAAGCAGGAAATAAAGAAGGAAATGAAGAAGGAGATGAAGAAGGAAATGAAGAAGGAAATGCAGAAGGAAATGCAGAAGGAAATGAAGAAGGAAATGAAGAAGGAAATAAAGAAGGAAAGAAGGAAGGAAGGAAGGAAGGAAAGAAGGAAAGAAGGAAAGAAGGAAAGAAGGAAAGAAGGAAAGAAGGAAAGAAGGAAAGAAGGAAAGAAGGAAAGAAGGAAAGAAGGAAAGAAGGAAAGCAGGAAAGCAGGAAAGAAGGAAAGAAGGAAAGAAGGAAAGAAGGAAAGAAGGAAAGAAGGAAAGCAGGAAAGAAGGAAAGAAGGAAAGAAGGAAAGAAGGAAAGAAGGAAAGAAGGAAAGAAGGAAAGAAGGAAAGAAGGAAAGAAGGAAAGAAGGAAAGAAGGAAAGAAGGAAAGAAGGAAAGAAGGAACTAGAGAAAGAAAGACATACATACAGAGAATGAAAGAGAATGAAAGAAAAAAGAAATACAAGAAAGAAAGAAAGTAACAAAGACTTAACGAAACAACTTCCAACGGTGGGGTGCGGCGATTGGGGACTGGGTATCCCCGCACACGTGTCCAGCCTTCGCAGTGATGCAGCTTCGCGAAGCAACTGGCCGTGCCTCATGTACGCGAGGGTGTAGGGTTTAGGGTTTAGGGTTTCGGGTTTAGGGTGTACCTCTGGAGTGCCTGAACTCTGAGGCCTAGCGTGTTTGAAGGTTCCGGGCCCTTGTAAACCTAATTACAACTGTACGTATAAGCCGCCGAAGTACCCTAAGTCCATGAACCTCCACGTAGAAGTTGGCCCTACCTTGCAGTCTTCTTTCATCCTCTTAGCTGAGGTCAAAGGCGCGCAAACGAAGCTTCCCCTCACCCTGCAGCCCCACGACCCTATGTTTAAACCCGACAGCCAACCCACCAGCCTTCTAGCCGATTACCCTATACCTACCCGAGAACACTGTACAGTTTTGGCCCCAAACCCTAAACCCTAAACCCTAAACCCTAAACCCTAAACCCTAAACCCTAAACCCTAAACCCTAAACCCTAAACCCTAAACCCTAAACCCTAAACCCTGAACCCTAAGTTCCCTAAACCCAAAGGCCGACACACCATGACCTGCTTTTGGAGGCCCCATGATCGTCAACTTCGGCCCAGGCATCATCGAGGACTTCTCTCTCTTCGGTCTCAGGGTAGGGTTTAGGGTTTAGGGTTTAGGGTTTAGGGTTTAGGGTTTAGGGTTTAGGGTTTGGGGTTTGGGGTTTAGGGTTTAGGGTTTAGGGTTTGCCCAAGCCTGAAAGCCTGAAAGCCTGAAAGCCTGAAACCCTAAACCCCAAACCCCAAACCCCAAACCCCAAACCCCAAACCCCAAACCCCAAACCCCAAACCCCAAACCCCAAACCCCAAACCCCAAACCCCAAACCCCAAACCCCAAACCCTGAACCCTGAACCCTGAACCCTGAACCCTGAACCCTGAACCCTGAACCCTGAACCCTGAACCCTGAACCCTGAACCCTAAACCCTAAACCCTAAACCCTACCCTGTGGAGCCCTGGGTCCCGGACTCCAGGAGTTCAACGCCCGCAGCCCCGACAAGAAGCTTCAGAAATATGACCGCATCCTCGCCCCGGGCCCAGAAACAGGGGGGTCACACCCTTTGGGGTTTAGGGTTTAGGGTTTTGGGTTTAGGCTTTCCTACAAACTAAACCCTAAACCCTACATCCTTAAACCCGGAACCCCAAACCCTAATATAGACCCTAGGCCCTAAACCCTACCGGGGACAAAGGGTTGCTCAGAGCAGGTCATTAAGCGTATAAGGACATCATAATGCCATAGACTATCAAAAGGTCCAGTAGATAGGCCAAAAAATGCAACTGTGTCCTGGTATAACAAACATTACAACATGTCCCTTGCATGTGTTGCCAAGAACCCCAGGCGTGTCGAGCCAACCCCCAACGCCAAACCCAAGTTCCAACCCTAACCCCTAAACCCTAAACCCTAAACCCTAAACCCTAAACCCTAAACCCTAAACCCTAAACCCTAAACCCTAAACCCTAAACCCTAAACCCTAAACCCTAAACCTAACCCTAAACCCTAAACCCTAAACCCTAAACCCTAAACCCTAAACCCTAAACCCTAAACCCTAAACCCTAAACCCTAAACCCTAAACCCTAAACCCTAAACCCTAAACCCTAAACCCTAAACCCTAAACCCTAAACCCTAAAACCTAAAACCTAAAACCTAAACCCTAAACCCTAAACCCTAAACCCTAAAACCTAAACCGTAAACCCTAAACCCGAGTTCCAAAGCCTTCGAGCAAGGCCTTCCTTGTAGCCTGCGTCGCTGTCAACACGAATGGACAAAAGGAGCACGACCAGAAAGCAAGGGAACCCTGCATTTTAGAGCACCGGCGACACCCCAAAAGCAAGCAAAAACACTAAACCCGAAGCCCTAAACCCTAAATCCCGTTCTTTTTGAAGCCAGGGTTTTGCCGAGGAACGAGGACCCTATGGTTTTCGTTGGTTGCAGATTGGGGGTTCCGGAAATTAGGGTCCCTTGAAGAGGAGTCCTGAGTCAGGGGGATATGCCTTTTTTAGGAGGCTTAGGGCTTAGGGCTTGGGGCTTGGGGCTTGGGGCTTAGGGCTTAGGGCTTAGGGCTTAGGGCTTAGGGTTTAGGGTTTAGGGTTTAGGGCTTAGGGCTTAGGGCTTAGGGTTTCGGGTTTCGGGCTTAGGGGAAGACAAGGACCCTATTTTTGGAAACCTATACATGTGTTGGTACATGTGCAGTTGCTAGACTTCCAGATGCTTCCGAGCCTGCTTGCTAGCCTACATGATGGGTCTAGGGTTGGGGTTTATGATGCAGGGTTTAGGGATAGTTTGGGATGTTCCCCCCTCTTCTACTAACAGTCCTTAGTAGGGATGACATTTGGGGGTACTCGAATCCCTATGAAGGGCTGTTAGCATAAGGGGGGAACATCCCAAGGGATCGGGTTGGCAAAAATTGCTTTCTTGACTTTCTTGTGTGGGATCCCATCAATCTCGCGATGCGCCTTTCTGTGTCAGCGTCTTCTGATCTGGCAGTGCGAAAGTACGGAGGCCGTTCTGCAGGTGCTTGAGGGGATGTAGGGATTTCAGGCAGAAAGGGTGGGTTTCCAAAACACGTGCCCCTTGAAAAGCAAAATCATCAGGAATGTTCTGTAATGCGCCCACGAAAAGCACAGGTGAGACCCAAAAGAAAAACCCTAAACCCTAAACCCTAAACCCTAAACCCTAAACCCTAAACCCTAAACCCTAAACCCTAAACCCTAAACCCTAAACCCTAGACCCTAAACCCTTGGCTGTTCGTTGCTCGAGGCGGTGAACGGCGAAGGCGGCGGAAGCACCAAAATCTGCGAGCTGCACGGCTTCACATTCCCGGTCGTTTCGGAGAAGGGGGCCATTCTTACTTGGGGGCTCCTTTATAGGTGTAACAAACAGTCATAATAGATTTTAGAACATTACAGTCATAATAGATTTTAGAACATTATAACTCTCTATGCCGTTTTCAGTAGGGTTTTTTTTTACAAAGGACAATTTGTGTTCACTGTTATCCAAAGTCTCCAAAACATGTTCAGGGTTACCTGGAAGAACGCGAGGTGTCGGATGAACATTTGAGAGCCAAGAGGTGGTTCAGGGTTTAGGGTTTAGGGTTTAGGGTTTAGAGTTAGGGAGAAATTCAGGCGGCCCCCGGCGTGTCGCACTCTATTTCTTTAGTCATCGCCGCCAGCTTTTTTCTAATGCATCCCTTTCCCCTAAAACCTAAACCCTTCTCATTATTCTTCTTATTCTTCTCCACGTGTATTAATTTCTGCATATTCTGACTACTATGTGTATATACGTATATACGTATATATGTATATATGTATATATGTATATATGTATATATGTATATATGTATATATGTATATATGTATATATGTATATATATGTATATATATGTATATATATGTATATATATATATGTATATATGTATGTATGCATATATGTATATATATATATATATGTATATATATACATGACCATTTCAATCCTCCTCCTTAAGCGCCTTCCTCCGACACGTGCCGGGTTGAGGGTTGAGGGTTTAGGGTTTAGGGTTTCTTTTTGCACCCCCACTGACGGCTCCACACGCGTTTAGGGTAACCAGGTCTGTGTGGTTGTCGGTCCCTCAAAATTTTCCTTCGCTAAAACCCCTAAGCGCGAAGTTGAGTTGGGGTTGAGGGATGTTTATCGGCCAGCTCTCTGATGTTGCTTTGGGGTTCCAACTTACTGCTTTGCACATGGTGAGTAGGAGACATGCACGCCCTTGCGGGGTGTAGAGCTTGTCCTGGTGAATTCTTGGAGAGGGTTGGAGTTTGGGATGTTCCCCCTTATACTAACAGCCCTTCAGAGGGATCATTATGGGGGGGGGGGGGGGGTTAGGGTTTAGGGTTTAGGGTTTAGGGTTTAGGGTTTAGGTTTCGGGTTTAGGGTTTAGGGTTTAGGGTTTAGGGTTTAGGGTTTAGGGTTTAGGGTTTAGGGTTTAGGGTTTAGGGTTTAGGGTTTAGGGTTTAGGGTTTAGGGTTTAGGGTTTAGGGTTTAGGGTTTAGGGTTTAGGGTACTCTAAGTTTTTAGGGGGAAGAATCCCAAGTTGGAGTGGTTCAGCTTCTGCAGTCTGCACCAAAAACGGCGACCCTGGCCCCGTCGACCTCCTTTCTTCGCACCTTCAGATGCCGCAGAAGCCCCTGAAGCCCTGAGCTGCATCCAGCCATACACCCTAGAAATCTACACACCCTAAACCCTAAAACAAAAACAAGTAGATCCTAGTCCCCTAAACAGTACAGCTTCGCTGACTTTTCTTTCAAAAAAAAAACTAAACCCTAAAAAACCCAAAACGCCCTGTAAACACTATTAACCCTCTAAACCCTACCGATAAACCCTGTAAACCCTGCAAACCCTAAAAATCCGGAAAACACAACAAAACCCTGCAAAACGTATACACCCTGTAAACCCTAAACTAAACCTTGAACCCTGGACCCTGAACTCTACGCAAGCAAGGAAGCTGCAGAATGTTCTCCTAGAGCGAAACAAGGAGTCAAGAGCCTGAGAAGGGGGATTTCGAGGGTTTAGGGTTTAGGGTTTAGGGTTTAGGGTTAGGGTTTTTGGGTCGATGCAGTTTAGCTGTATTTAGGGTCTCGGGACCCCTAATACAGACCCCAGAAATAACAAGGACCCCAACCGCATGTACCTTAACCCTACACCCTAAACCCTTAAGCCCGAAATTGGAAGTTGTTTAAGCACAAGTTAAAACAAAACTTTCCCCGAAACCCTAAATCGATTTCAATAAACCCTAAACCCTGAACCCTCAACCCTAAACTTCGGAGACCCCCATACATCCAGGGTTTAGGGTTTAGGGTGTAGGGTTTGGGGTTTAGGGTTTAGGGTTTAGGGTGTAGGGTTTAGGTTACCCTGAAACCCTAAACAACGAACCCACGCCATGACTGGAAGGGGTTTAGGGGGTTGGGGTTGAGGGGTTTTGGGGTTTTGGGGTTTTGGGGTTTTGGGGTTTTGGGGTTTTGGGGTTTTGGGGTTTTGGGGTTTTGGGGTTTTGGGGTTTTGGGGTTTTGGTTGAGGGGTTGAGGGGGTTGGAGGGTTGGAGGGTTGGTGTTGAGGGGGTTGAGGGGGTTGAGGGGGGT